TGTCATTACTGTCTGAATAAACATGCATTCATTCATTCAAAGTAACATTTTTCCAATACTGATTCTTGAAAATATCCCAGAATTCACAAACACCAATATTTGCACACATGTTTAAATCAAATGGGCCAACAACAACAACAACAAAAAAAAAGTAATTATTATTTAATGTCTGTTTCTCAAGCGTATATACAGCCTGTATGCTATGTTTGTGTAGGATAGGATTACAGACTGGTTATGGTCCCAGGGGAGGCTTATTCTAATGTTGTTTATGTCACATAGAGATAGTCATACACTGAATTGTTTTGTTGTGCATATTTTTACATATTTCTCTGACAGTGTCCTTCTACCTCCTACCGCCATTCACTTTTGTTTAACTTTTAATGCAGATTTAGGTTATATATAGATCCACGATGTATACTGTGTAATGTGTTTTGCCTTGCTATGTTCAGGGCCTGACAGATTTCTCAGTTTTTCACATGCTTGTTGTATAACCAAAGCAGTAATTTACATATATATTTTGGCAATCTGGTACAGTACATGACTAAATATTTTGATGAACAATAGCCTTGCCTCCCAATTAGCAGTCAGTAAATCCTTTATAAATTAAGATTCTACAATTAAAGCAGACCTATTATGCAAAATCGACGGAATTTTTAAGCATGTTATAGATGCTTCCCTTCTCATTTACTTTCTCGAAGTTGTATTTGGATTTGTGCATGTCTGAGCAATCTTTAATTTCAAGACGCTGTACTGCCAATCACCCTCATTTTCATTGTCCACTGACACAAAGGTTAGTGGCTTAAATCCCACTTCCAAGATAAACATCATTAGTAGGGGTTTGCAAAAATTTTGAAATAGCGATATATCGAATCATTTAATTTGATGATACAGTATTGATATCGTGGGCTGCCAAGAGTATTTTTTGGTATATTTTACAAAATTATTTTGTTACAGCTACAGTTTTGTTGCTTGTTCAGAGGAAGAAAACTCGTTTATGTGACACATTTGACATTTTCACAGTGTTTTGATGATTAAAATGTTTGTATTTCATATTAACTTTGCACAAGGAGTGGTTTAACAAAGACTTTTAGTATAACAGCCATGATTTAGACATTATTTTTTTATTGAACTGTATCGAATCGATTTGAAGTATATTGTATCAAATTGAAAGTGCACTGTATCGAGATATGTATTGTATCGGCAGCTTCGTAATGACACTTAGCCCTAATCATCAGTGGAGCGGCCAGATTGACTGATCCACAGGTTGGTGGTGTGATTCCAGCTTGCCACAGATGAATGCTGTTATTGTGTCCTTGTGCAAGACACTTAAACTGCGTCACCCCTGCGTGCACTAATGTAAGTTGAGTGGTTTTTTGATGTAAAGTGCTTTGAGTGCCTTGAAAGTGGAAAGGCGTTATATAAAAAAAGTGACCATTTACTATTTATCATTTAGCAGACTCAAGCACAATATGTATTGCTGAGAAGTTCCAATGGCGAAAATTTATAGTTTCGTATGTTATTTTGACCTGACTACCCATTTTCATTTCAGAATGTTTGTATTGAAGTGTGTGTACATTGATAACAATAGCAATGTCCTATATGCGTGTCGTAATTTGTTGGGTTGATGGATGTTTCTCACTAGAGGGCCTCTGTGATTGACACTTGCAATAGAGGACCACATGGAGCTGTTATAATATTCAATCAATGCGCAGTCAATCTGTTCAAGGTGAGCTGCCTCTGTCTCTCTGCGGAGCTTGTGAAATTGGGTCAGTACAAGAGCATAGGAACTGAAGAAGCAATCTGCACTACAGCCAGTGTCCAAGTGTCCAAAAGCACTGCACACTCCTTTTCTCATCTTTTACCAAGGTTTTCTCCTTCAAAACACAAAGTGGTCTAGACTAGAAAGTCTGAAAGTACTGTTGCTTCAAAATCTGAATGTTATAAAAGAGTAAATGTGGATAATGAAAGTAGAAGTAGACAATTTTGGTAATATTTTGCAATTGTGCGACATGTCTATGGACAACAGATGAGAATTAGCGCTTTTGTGGTTCTCAAAAGTATCAAAAATCCAATACTAACTGATACTAAAACTAGTTTCGAAACTATACACTAATTTGAATAAGTATCAACACTAAAAAGTCACATTTGCAGGACAAAAATGAACTTTTCCTGAATATTTTTAGAGTGATCTCGAGTTGTATCAGACCTAGTATAAGATCACATACCTGGACAACTGAGCAATTACACAGATATAAAACCTTATGATAATATAAAAGAAAGTAAGATGATTTAATGTTGAAAATCACATTCTACTGTCTAAAGAAAGAGTGTTTTTATTATAATTACGGCATCAGAATCTGTACTGAGTATTGTGTCTATTCCTTAATATCTAAATCAAGTTTGAAATTCTACTTCAGACCTTCATTAATATGGACTTTCCCTAGCAAATAAATAATTGAAGAGAGAAAAAAAGCTTTCACTTTTCACTCCATCAGAAAGTGGAGTGCTAAAATCAAAACAACAGCATCAACATTATCCTCTAATATAAATTAATTATTCACAAATACTATAACTATAAGGTCTACTACTTTTACTTGGGCATTTACATTCACAAATAAAAATAATGTCTACTTTTTCCAATTAAAACAATCCTCTGCAGTCAGTATTGTTTTCTTGTATTTATTTTTTTGGGGGGGTCTTGCGGCAGATCTCTGTAATGTTGACGAAATAGACAGATTTGATGCCGCAAACAGCACTTTGATGAGCAAGAGACAGCCGCCTCTGTTGCAAAAACAAAGTAGTTCTCATCACCATGGATCATTTAGCATTTGCGATAGCCGCTTAGCTCCCAGGGAAAATGTAGTAATAACAGTAATATGCGGTGTGTAATTGTGGTGTTTTGCGTTAAACAGACTTGACCAGCACATGCCTTGAATCACCCACACGTACGCGGCGTTCTGTCCCGATGACACAGACATGGGCCAGATGGAGCACACTGTGTGGGACAGACCAGCTGTTGTTCCAGCAAAATGGACTCGAGAATTACTGCTTCAATCTTTTGGAAAAGAAACCCATTTCACTGAAATGAAATATCAGGTTTTTGCCCAAGATAATTTGAAGACATTTACATGAGCTCCATCAATAGCGCTGGCTTTGGTTTAATGGATGTTTGGAAGATTGGTTTCCAATGTCTCTCGAGTAACTCTCAAACTGTTCAAACTAAATATCACTTGATGGGATGAGAAAATGGACAAGTACGCTTTTCATTTTATGACATTAAAATTGAAAGTAAAAAAAAAAACTCATCAAGGCTTATTTGTGAGGACAAAAACATGACGATAAAGCAAAAAACCAAGGAAAAATAACTTGTAGGCATGGTATATTGGTTATCAGTTATCAGTGATATTGGAGGATTTTCTCAGATATCAATATCGGTCTGATATTGAAAATTTTGCAGATATTTGGCAGTTATTTTTTTTGCACTGCCTCACTCTGTGTGTGCATTCCCAGTTTGTCCATCAGATTTGTTTTTTTGAATAGAGTCAAAATTTTAATTCATATCCCAAATAAAAGCTTAATATCAGTATCTGCAAATATCGGTTATCAGCCACAGCAGCAAGACAAATATCGATATCAGTATCGGCTTAAAAAAATAAAAATAAAAAAATCCATATCAAACCCTTACAAAATTGTGGTAAATTATTGTACCACACATAAAAATTCTTACTCACTGTGGCATGAGTTACAAAGTAAAGGGAATAACTGTTAATCATTAGAGGTTTTCTTATCAGCTGGAGGCAAACAGAGATATGTTTTAGTTTTATTTACAGCACCAAAGGACCTTCAGAGGACACACGATGGTATCTATTTCTTTGTCCACTTTAGCAAAACTGTACTTTTTCCTCACTCCACAGAAATCTTTCAGCAGATAAGTGGTTTTTGCTCCCAGGACAGAAAACAGTCCCCAAAGTCACCTCCCCAGCCCAGGCCTCAATCCATCACTGTCCAAAATAGCAAAGACAAAGTTTTTACAACACCAATTATGTTTTATCCGCATGCAGTTACCACAAACAAAAGTGTAAGTAGGCCTGTCACGAAAACACATTTAGAAGTGCAATATATGACAGAAGAAAATGGAGACGATAATAATGATCGTATTGAGACTAACTGACTATCAAATGTCTTTAAGTGGTCCATATTTTATGTTACTTACTGACAAAAAACAGATCTGGAGTTTTGTTTTGTTTCATTCACACATGTTTAACACGCAAATCCTGCATATTTAGGCTGAGTTCTTCTCTCATACGGAAAATATCACCGTGTTTTTAAAGTCCACACACCTTCACGAGAATCATTTGGATTATTTTAGACCTGAAATTGTCAATCTCTACTTAACAAAAGGTAGCTGGTAATTTGAAACTACCACTACATGACATCTCAAGGTGGAACAGAGCATTTTTGAGCTTTGGAGATGTAGACAGACTAAAAATAAAGGGTTACTCTGACATGTTTGAATGAAACAAAACACAACTCCAGGTATGATTTTGATTAAATACCAACATTATAATATGGCTTAATGTTCCCAAGAGTCAATTTAGTGTAATATAGGACCTTTAAAACCTGCAAAAAATATAAAAACACTTCTGTGATTCATTATAGAAACAAACTGAAATCACTTATTCAACCTTTTACAGCCCAAATCTTACCATAGTACCAAAACATTACTATTCGACTATATGCAAACTAGTCTTTGTTGTCTTATACTTGTTCTGATCATTATAAAGTTATTCAGGAAAGGTTCTTTTTTTTTTTCCTGTTAATGTGACTTTTTTCACAGTATCAATACTTGCTCAGATTAGTATCTAGTTTCAGTATCAATTTTAATACCAATTACCATAGTATCTGATTTTCGATACTTTTGATTGTCTTGTGATTAACTGGTTTCTTTTTGTATGAACCTAGTTACAGCTGTATCTTAATTTCTTGTCTTGTGTTCACAGGGGCAGCCCGTTGGTCAGTGTGACTTCAACATCCGGTTAGTTTGCATCGAGAAGGAGATCATTTCACCTCGGATGGAAAAGATGAAGATCGGGCAGATCGACAAAACGAAGGAGCCGTTCAGTGTCCGAGCAAAGCCTTTTTTTGATATCCACGCGTCCAGAAAGGTAATGCCGGCAATACTTATCATTATAGTAAGAATTTAAATAAGACGTGTTATGAAAAATCAACTTTAATTAGCTTTTAATTACTGTTGTATTGTTGCCTCATAAGGTTAGTCAAATTCACTGATTATTGCATGTTTGAGTAATCCTGTATTTTCCTGTATTTGAGGCTTGAGTGCTCAGAAAATTCCTGTTTTCACCTAAACCCTAGTTCCACCTACATCTCTAATTATTTGCAATTATTTGAAAAATATGCATCATACACAGACCAAATAAGGAAGTGGACTAAGGGAGTGTAATGTCAGCTATAAAGTTCAGCTCTAGTCAATTGAAGCTCACAATGCTAGTATTTATAGGGGCAAATTTGGAGCCAGTTCCATATCAGGAATAGGAATTTATTTTCATACAAAATAGTGAAATTAAGAAACGCTCTGAGCCTCATTTTGGTCTTAAAATTAATAGTTTAATGCCTGAAAAAATCTTAAGTTCCCTTTATGTCTCTCTTAAGTATTGTTTGTTTTAACTTGACAAACGTAATGGGGTAGAACTTTTTGGCACCTAAACAGTTAATCTTTATTGCCCAGGGCTGGTGAGTACAAATCACTTTTAAGGCCTTCCTCCTTCAAATGGAGTGCTGCCGGCATTTCCGTCTTCATGCATTTCCATATATCTGCAGGGAGAGTTGACATTCACAGATGAGTGCACACATCATGTTGTAGCATACTGCACCACAGGAATTTTCACTGCAACAAAAGCAAAGTCTTCCTCCAACGAAAAAAGTTTGTTTTGATCTACAAATTATGTGGGGGCACAGTGAGGTAATGAGATAATTTGAATCTTCTCATTAGCTTCTACATAAAGAGATGACAAGTCCTGAGTTTTAACACTATTTTTGTCTCTGCCTACCTTGAAATCATGCCGTAGGGGGTCTTGGGATCTTCCAGTGTAAACTCAGTGATAAATTAATATGCAAATTATGGCACTCATGAAGACGGATGATTCAACGTCTCACCCAAAAGGCAAACGTGTCAAAAGATAAGAATACTAGTCTACTCAAGTCTTCTTTGTTTGTTTTGAACCACTACACTACTCAAGGTATGCTACAGACTAGTTTAAAAAGAGTTTAAAAGAGGAAGAGACACATACATTTATTATGTATTATGCAAAATGTTGAGTTTGTTGTGGTTCAACTTACAACTAACCACTGCTACACTATTTTTTTAAGGTGTACTACATGTAACTTTTACAGTATGACATTAAACCTATCCATCTCACAAGCAGATGATGCCACTAGAGCAAGTTACCAGTCATGTCAGTGAAGAGGCAGCACTGCTCACAGCTGAATGGCTGTTTTTCAAGGCATATTCTTGCAGAAAAACACCTTTAATGCCATGTACTGTAGAGCCTATCAGTCAAAGCAGTACTTTTTCGGAGACAAGGATGAGGCCGAACACCAAAAAGCCTCTTTAAAACTTTTCAGTCGGAACATTTTTTTTTTAATGTTTGAAAATTATACCTGCAAATTCTGGTAAAAACTGACTATTTGACTGTGGAATAAATGCAATCAAAGCTCTTGTCAAGGTTGATGAAGGTATTCAGTTAGTTAGTGCAGTCCAGTTGGCTAAGAGGCTGTAAAAAGTAATAGTATGTGCTTAAAGTGCTTCAATTTGATCGTTGAATAGTTGTCTGAACCCTGCAATATTACCATGATAGCGAGTTAAAGAAGATTTATATCTCCTTGAGTCCTCAAAGCTTTGCACCTTGGCCCTAAAATCAAGCCAGTTGGAGGTCAGTGCAATTTAATTTGATTTTTTTTTAGCTCGAGCCAAGATCACACAATCTCGCCCCTTTATTCTCACCACTGATCAAAGCTCCCTTAGGGCTTCGAGGTTACACGGTCCACCACGCTACTCTTTTTAGCTGCATATTTTCCTCTGCCAACGCATATATCTCGTAGTGGCTTTGTTATCGCACATTGAAAATAAAATGAACTCTACCACTCTCCCCCATGTCGGGTTGGGGATGGTCTTCAAGTGAGGTCATTTTGCTCTGACTGGACTATTGTTCTTGTCCATCGCCATACAGTCATCTCCCTGTAGTCTGCGACATTATCCGAGGAATAAAGACGCATTATTAATTCTGAAGCACACAAACGCCCACTTGATCACCTCTCAACCAGAGCCTCCGGTCGGGGGGTATTTGAAGCTGCTGTTTTCCATCTTCAACACTTAACTATTCATGCCACCACGGGTCTGGCCTCTACTATAGCGGCCATTTATCCTTTAGCTTGCAGTACGGCCGTCATTATCGCACAATGAACCCCTTTCAATATTAAACAGTTCTTACAATGGGAGAATACGGCTCTATATTTCTGGACTTCCCCTTCGCCCGGTTGACAAAATAGATTTAGGTGATTATTCTGAATTTCGAGGGGGAAGCTATTAGTGACTTGGCATACGCAGCGGTGACAGATTGATTTTAACAATGTGTTTGTCACAGTGGCTGTTCTGGCCTCAGTGTCTCTGCGTTTCTGGCATCGCAAACCAAACATCCAAAGTCCAACTGAGTAGCTCGCTGTTTGCATTGTGCTAGTCACATATTTCATACACAAGTTTTTTAGTAGAGCATTATATTATTAAAATAAAACTATAAACATTTTAGGTAACATTTTATAATATCTGGCTTAATTAAAACCTTTACCCTATAGCTTCTAACTCCTTAATTAAGTAGTTACTTGTTACTTAACGAGATAAAAATATTGACTTGATATTTGCACTTTTAAGCATATCAGCTATTGGCCTTAAATCTTTATCAGAGGCCGATATTTTGTTTGTTCAAACCAGATGCCTAAAAATACGCATAACACTATATTTTAACACTTCAGTGCAAAGGGGCACCGCACAAAACGTAACTACCCAGCTCTTGTGTCCAATTTGTAGTAAAACATAATTTCAAATCATATCATCTGGGGAAAATAATCAAAACTGGCCTTGTATAACGGCCCAAACTCAGCTATCAGTTTCTCTAGATTTGAAACAGAATCACAATCACAATTTTGCAATACAGTGTTACAGTACATTACTACTTTTTGATACATGATTTGGGAAAAAACACACACATTTTTAAGCATGGTATATTACTAGAGATATACTGACATAAACAGCAAAATATTGGAAGTACTTTATGCCACTGACACAATGACAATAATGCAAGATAATCCCACTAAACCATTTTTAAATAGACTGCATAATTCAAAATCGGCTGTACTAGAAAATGGTAAAACTTGTTGCTGTATTTCTTAATATAAAGATATCAAATCAACTCTGCTGTATAAAACATAGTGGCTGTTGATAATAGCGAAATGTGACTTTGGTGGACCTTTAATTGCGTTGATTTTTACGGTAGAAAGCTCCAAAATGACACTAGCTCCCATGAATTCATATAAGTACAGTCTGGCACTGTGTGGACGCCTGAAAAAGTTAATACGCTGATGTAGGAGCTCTAGTTGCCGTCTTTATTGGACCAGGTCACTGTGACTTGCGCTTTCCTGATTCGCTGGGTTCGTGACATCGGACATGTGATGCTATTGCGGAAAACAGTTTAAACAAACCATAGACATACGGGAAACAGCGTAACTAGAGTTACTTGCTAGTAGAAAAGACCATTTTCACACTTGCCATCTTCAAATCGGCTGCTGCAGCTTCAGACACGGTGCTCCACTTCCTTGTTTTTACTGCCCACATGACGTCGAGATCCCAGCCTAGTCATGTGATTAGCATTTAATTTTCAGCGCATTTTGCGTTACTGTGTGGATTATGTCTGGATGCAAATAATTTCCAATACGGTGATGCCGTGATAAGGTAATTCCTTTCAGTATAAACGTAACCTTAGAGTCCTGTCGTAGTGTGTGAGAAAATGCTCCATAGACATTAAACAGCAGTGTCACTTCTATGATATCTATGATCTTGAATGATTACACTCTTTACCCTATCACACTTTACATCTCAGAAGCATAATAACATAGATGAACGACTGTAGTTCAGAATCACTTGGCACAAATTCCCCCAGCAGTGCAGAGGTGGATTCCTGTATGTAGTATAAATCTCTATCTAAGCACCGTATGTCTGATTGATGTGACCTGTTTAAAGCTGACTCCTGGCTGCTGTTCCTGCTCCTGGTATCAGTATGAATACAGATCCACGGCATGACTCTCTTGTGGCTAAAGTACTTCCAATCGGAGTATTCCCTGCTCCAGAACTATACACATTTCCAAACAGGATTCAAATGCCGGGCACGTTTCCATTCTTGTTTGAAGCCGTCTTTAAGCAGCAATCTTGGCTCTCAGATAAAGCTCTTGTAAACTCAACAATGTGTGCCAGTAGAGGAAATGGCACGGCCGTTTGTTTGCCCGTAATATCAAATATCACAGTTTAATTATTTGACAGCTTCAATGATGCTCTTAACACATATAACAATGCTTACAATGCCACACATGAGGTTGTAGTGTACAGAGTGCATTGGCAGAGGATACAAGTGTTTTCACAAGGAATGAAATAATAAGACCAGGATTAGATTTCTGCTCATTTTTCAGACCACTGATGCCGGCTTGTAATTTCTTGGCAATATCCACGTTTTCAGCTGTAGAAAGTCTGCTCCATCTGGGATTACAGAAATTCACTGTTGTATTTTCAGAACATCCCGCTTTCCAATTTCCATGCAGAACAGCCATGAGAAAATAGCTGATAGTTGTTAGTAACAGCATGCAAATAACTATAGTGTTAATGCATTTCATGGTATTTTTATTAAAAGTTAAGCTAATTCAGAGGCAAATCTTACATTATCAGTTCTGGCACCATGACAACATTTGAAGACTGATGTATTGCTTGAAAAACTATATAATATTGAAAGTACTTTATGCCATTGACACTTTAAAGGTGCAACTTTTCTGGTTGAGGTTACCCTACTGTGTGTTACTTTGCTAGGGTTAGGGTTGCCAGGAATGT